CCAGCTGATTGTCTGTGAAACATCCTTTTTCAGATGAAAGATTGAATGAACTCTTCTTTCTGCTAAGTTGTGCTTCACAGCCTCCCACATTTTCATTATTATTAAAGCCATTTTTGTCCTGTTCCCTAATGCAGTAGTAGAACCTACAGTATGAAATCTTCTGAAACAGCCTTCACTTCATACAACAAGAATTCTGCGATCAGTTTACGAAGAAAGTCTGAAGATGCTGAAAACACTGAAATAGCCGATACCGAAAGATTACAGCTTCTTTAGTCAGCAGAGCTAAACTTTCAACATAATAAACAACATTTGGCTTTGGGACACAGGGGTTGATGAAATTATGCGTATGTGGATATTCCATTAAAATTATAATAACTTGTTAGTAATGAGCCCATCAATCATTGTGATTAATGGGCTCATTTTGCAACAGTTGGCATCCACACTTTTCAGATCAAATTACATTATTATTGGAATAACAACCTGGATGGGTTTTTTTGGAGGGGGGGTTAACAAAAATGCCAGATTTGTTATTCCAATCGCACACATAAACAGTTAGCTAACTGGAATTTCGAACTCTACAGCTGGACCAATTTATCAACGGGCCAAGATTTTAGGCCACTATGAAATATTTTCTGATCTATTGATATTGCCATTTATAACAGCAAATGACAGAAAATGAAACAAGTAAAGAAGAGACAACAGAAACACCCTTCAGCCAGGAAGTTGCATAGTTTGCCCACCAGGGGGCACTCTGCAACATCCCTTTTGCCAACAAGTGTTTGGAACTACAAACAAAACAGAGTCAGGCAGAATCACTAAATACCTACACATAACAAATGGAAGTTTTTTTGCGTTTCAGGTGTCTGAAAGAAAAAAATATCGGCCGATATATTGGATTTTTAAATCATCAAATATCGACATCAGTTTTAAAAAACATACTATAGCTCCCAGGCTGAAGTCTGACAGAAACAGTTCTGTGAAGTCTCTGGTATTGACAGGTATGTAAGAAAAGTGTATTTACACTCCAAACCACTTGAGAGAATGGAAACTATGAACTTTTGCTATAGAGGCATAAGAGACAGCTGCTGTTAGAAACGTAAGCCGTTTAGAGTAGGTACAGATGTTCCTCCCTCTGTCAATAGCCTCAGTAAAGTCTTCTTAGCTTTACTGGGAGCGTCCTGTGTCACTGAGCCTTTCTCCTGCCAATTCACTCATTTTCTTTTAGGCTATTTGAGATGCATAAAACCGGGGATATATCAACATTGGTGCCCATGTTGTCCCTACGTCTTTCTATGAATTACTGCCGGGGTCGTTAGGCTGGAACAGACATGTGAACAATGTCACCTTGTTCAATGTGGCATCCCCAGCAGATGTTTGAATGACTCAGTCCTGCCCTATTAATTCAAACATGTCTAATAATGACTGATGACTGGTACTTGAATAGGTTCAGACCTGGCATTAACACTCTCACTGGGTCTAGCGCTACCCTAATGTATTCCACTCCTCACTTTTATGCATCACCTTTAAATCCATTTTCCAAACAGCTTTTCTGACTTTTACCAGTACTAGTAAGGCCTGTACCATTCTGACTGGCCAGGTGTGAAGCACAACTAAATAACCTAAGCTTGGGGCATGGAGAAGACTGTGTAGAGAAGCTGGTGCCTTCAGTGTCTAAGCTGTAGAGATCTGCAGTCTTTTTTGACACAGATGAGTTCTCTCAGTTCATCCAGCTGAATTATTATGACAGAAACATCCAATCTGCTCTTGATAAAAAACAATATGCCAGTTGCATTAGAAAATGTCTCAGATTTGAACCTCCCTTGGCATTATCACAGACGAGAATTATTTCTTTTAAGTAACCAAAAGTTATTCGATTTTGCAGCAAATGAAGAAAGACTGTTTGCACTTCGTCAAAACAAAGTCCCGCGTCCATGTATGTCCTTGAACGCGTTGCCAAGATATGACCTAACTTCCTTTTCAACAGCTTCATTGCCATGATGAATAAAAGCTTTTGAAAATGAGAAATCCATATAATATTTTGGTATGAAGATGATCTGGTCCAGTTCTGATGAAGATCGGAAACTGTGAAATTTTAGCAAACTTAAAACACAAACCAAAAAAATTGATATTATATGGATTTATCATAGATCTTATGAATATTGGGCATATTGTTTAAAAATTAACTCCAGCTCCAACCAGCTGCTTCAGCGGCAGTGGTGTTACCCAAAATTGTAGTTTTGCATAATTCCGCTAACAGTCAAAGACAAATGTAACATCCAAAATATTAGAGACACGAAGTAATGTATTAAAAGTGAAGCTATGTTGATGCATTTAGGAGCCCTGCCTCCTCCTCTTGTGTCTCAACTTGGAGCTAAAGATCTGTTAGTCAGGGGATGGGGAGTTTTCAGTCTCCAGGGGCACATCCCTCTGAACTGCCTGCCAAACTTCTCCTCTCTCCATCATTTTTCTTGCTCAGCTTACTTTCTTTCCCCTTTGATTTCCTCGTCCCACTTCTTCTACTCCTCGTATTCGACCTTCTTCCCTCGCTCCGGCCTCTTTTTAACCTACACCGTCTTTTCCCACTTTCTCCTCAACAGAACTTTTCACTTTCACACCCTTATCTGTTTTACCCTCTCTTCCCTTTCCACTCCTCTTCCTCTCTCAGCGATCCACCTCCTCTGCAGCCGTGCATAATTAGGCCTAAACACAAGCCTGCTCAAGCTCACATCTGGAAGGAGTTTGGACATGGCAGTTTCCTACCAAGACGACTAAATATTTAGGTTGAGAGTTACTGCATGTGGATGAACTCATGATAGAGAGCGGGGGGAGGGGGGATGGAGATAAAGAGAAACGAATGAAAGTGGGACAAACGACTGGAGCTCGATGGAGAAGGCTGAGAATAAATTTATACACCATTAAACTACTGATAAGCATAAGTTTAAAGAAACGGCGATGTGTAAACGTGACACACACTGCAGTGTAAACAAACTCCAAACAGAGATACTGGCGAGCCATAGGGGGAGGTGATAATATTGGGGGGGTCAGGGGGGTGGACTGTTTGCTGCTCCTTTATGGATGGCAGGAGCAACAAACAGCCAGCTAATAGTTTTAATAAACAAATCGCCGTCGGGTTTTCCCATGAGGCTCAGGGGCCTCAGCTGGAATGTTCACAGGGGCCAGCTGTTGTGAATTACACGTAGCAGCCAGCCCCGGAAGCCCAAGGCCTGGTGTCCTCCAGCCTTTGCCTGCTCAGCATGGAGGAGAGCATTCCTCCAGGCTGCCCCAGAGAGAGGGCAGCAGGGCCTGGCTCTCAAGCCCTCCGATTCTGGAGAGGAGGAAAAGTGATGTAGGGCATGGAAAAAGCTCCTATGCCGCACCTGGGATACTGTCTGCAGTTTCAGAGCGTCTGTGGAATGTCAGGAATAACACGAATACCCACACAACTTCTCGCATTCCACATCTGGAGCTAATGTCACGAGCAACAGTGGGAACGCAGGCGCTTGAAAAGACTCACCGAATCCTCAGGAAAACAAACTTTCTAGACACCATCGTTCCCGGGATATAGAGAAAATGGTGGATTGCAAGCGGAATTGTTTTCGCCTGGCAGAGAGCTTAATCAAAAAAGTGTCCCAGAATGCAAAGCACATGCACAAAACATCTTAACCAAAGTTAGGTGTGGGTATAGGAGATTATCTTAAGTCACCTCAACCACTGCCACCCGAGCCATTTCACCTCCTCCAGCTTTTCAGCAATGTGTTCCCCAGATGTTTATCCTGCCTTTAATAGGCAAGAAACATAAAGCCCTATAAATGGACTGCTGGCTGGCTTTAGCTCTCCTGGGCATAAATCCCCTCACTTTACCTCATATGCTTTCTCCAGTGGGGCAGTTGAACATGTTTTTTCCCCCTGTGACGATGTGCACTTAGCATTTCTCCCGCTGGGTCAGAGTACAGAGACACTAACACACTGTGGGAATGAGCAATGTCTTCAAAAGACTGAGCAGCTGTGAAGAAAGTGGTGTGTTACTGTCCAAAGAAATGTGTCACTAATAGATCGGTAGGCCATCAGTCATGGGCAATAGTGTACTTTGGCCAGTGATGGTAGTGCTTTCAAGTTTGGTCCAAAACAGACCACACAAATAACTGCTTTATAATTACAAATATGCAACTATTCTGGGTCAGGATTAGTGCTGTCCAGCTCTCGCCAGATGTTTTTTTTTTTCCTCCCTTTTCAACAGAAGGAGATAGTGAGGCAGGGTGTTGCGGCATTTAAGGAGCCGCCCACCAGTAAAGCAAAGACTCAGACATAAAATACTTATAATGTGTTTCTGTTTATTCTAGTTCTGCAAGGCCATGTGCACGAGCGGCGGCGGTGGTGGAAGAAGAAAGAGCGAGCTGAAGACAGGGCGTCTGGCTGAGTCTAATTTAAAGTGACAGAGTTGTGTCAGAGAGGCAGGGCCAGATGATGGCTACAGTCAGCCCTATGCCCTCTCAACGCTTGTTTTAATGGTTTGCAGCATGGCAGCGTTCAGCCCGGCAGTTAAAGTAAATCAAGATGTAAGCACCTAACCTGACAAGTCTTATTAACTCAGAAAGCCATTAATGTAGGTAAAACTAAGGTCAAGGGGTCATCCGTGTGTGGCTCCCAGAATACTTAAGCCTTAGATGATAATCACATTGGGAGTACTTTTTAAGAATGAACAACTAAAGGTGACTTCCCTAATCCTATAACATGGACATCCTGTGACTTCAACTTAATTTAACTATGGAAACAAGTTGTTTAAAAAGATTGGATAATATTTCCCCTCCAAAATATTTAGGGGACATTCAGAAATACTATTATGAAAGCTGAGTGACACCAGAGGACAGAAATGAGGCCTAATTGTACCAGTGACACCAGTATGTCAGGCCCAGCCTTCAAAAATCCAGCCTTATGATAATAATACACTGTTAATTCGTCAGTTTGAATGTTACAGTGATGCTCAAAGTGTTCCAACTCACAGAGTGACGGTTCTGTTGGGCAGCAAGCCGGGATCCGGAAGTTCAGTCAGCTCCCCCTTGCTGCAGCTGACCCTGATCCCCACAGCCTGGACGCTGTGCAGTTTGGGGCGCTCTTCCGCGCAGCTGCAGCCACTGGTGGAGGCGAGCAGTCCCGGGCAAGCCTGGTAGAGCCTCGGCAACAGGAGCAGCATCAGTACCAGACGCCCCGGCAGCAGAGGGATGCCAACGCCGGGCGCAAACATTGTCCTTCGGCTGGATCTCACCTCAGCTGCACCCCAGCCTCCAATCATCCCATATCTGCACCATGGAGCTTTCAGTGGGTGTAATGTGGGCGAGAAGAAAGTTGTAATAACAACAACAATAATAAAATCAGCTTTCAGGCCTTGTATGAATGGCAAGGTTAAAGGATCCGCTCAACAATGGACACTCGCCATCCGGTCATTCCAGAAATATTCAGCGCCGTTGATTTTTTTCCCAAGTGTCCCGTTATGTCATGGCAGCCCGGGCGCACAACTCCCTCTGGTCCAAACGCTTTTAATAAATCCAAGAGATGTGTCACCCTCCAAACGTCCACAACAGTTAGAAAAAAAGCGATCCAATATGTCTCTAAAAAGTTGATGGCTTCTCTAATTACCTTTAGAGAAGTGGGAGTGTCCAGATTACCGTTATCTCGCCTTCTGCAAACTTAATCCAGGGGTTGGTGAGATTGACGGCTGAGCAGTCACATCCACAGCCACGCTGTCGTTTATATGAACAAAAATTAATTCTCTTTTTCACTTGCTCGCATCTCTTGAAAGTTTCCCTCAGTGTTTTCCTCCAATCCCTAAGCTCACCGTTGCTTACGATCATGCGCAACTTGAATTCAGTTTGAACGTGTTGGAAAAAAGAAACAAACAAAAAACAGCAACTTTTAGTTCGTTTAGAAGTGAGCTCGGAGCTGCGGTGTAATTCCCAGAATCTAGCGGTTTTGCTTGCTTGCCTCTGTCACACTCAAAAATCACTTGGTTACTACCCCAAGTGCGCCCATTCCGTCTTCGTCTGCGCCCTGGTCCCCGCGGTCCTAGCGCATCCGGATCTGCACAGAGCGAGACAGAGAGGAGGTTCCACATGTGACCGGGGAGGGGGTCAGGGCAACGACGACTCACGTTACACGCCTTCACAAAAAAAAGAAAAAGAAAAAAAAACATACGGCCCATTAGGTTTAATATTATGGATATGAGTTTGCCTAAAACCCACAAATATTTCCCCTATAAGCAAAACTGAAATAATTATCGAAATAATTAGGCCTAGTTATTAACTCAACTTTTGGCTTTTATCCCATTACAACAATAATACGTTCAATGATAAATTCATCAGAAAGGGAAACTGCTTTTGAAAATGTTGATCGGCCTGGGTGTAAAAGTCTGAAAGGTCTTGATTTCAGTGCCTGCCTGCACCGGGAGCCTAAAACTAAAATTATGAATGAATGTGGAAAGCCTTCATTGTATTGTGCCTTTGGAGCAGATCAAAGAGTTTTCATTCAATCGACGGGAAGCAGAGGAAGCAAAGACTTTTACAGATACGCTACGGCAAATGTGATATTGTTGCTGCAGAAAGAGTTATGATTAGAGTTATTGATCTTTAAAATGTAGACGTAGAGAATGGGGTGTCATATTGTAGATGATAACTTCTAGATTAATGGCATGTTTTCTTTTGTTTCCGTGGCTTCTCATAAATGCTGAAACTGGAGTGGCTGGCACAAAGAAGCTGTCAGGGCTCCAATATAGATAAGCTTTTTTCAGTCCTATTCTATCAAATTTCCACTGAATGTTCTTCCTCAATTATTCTGAGATAATAAAAAACATTAAATATTTTGTTGAAAGAACTATATATATAGAAATATATATATATTTATTTATTTTACAGAAACATTACATTTCTCCCCTAAAAGTAAAAGAATCCTTCCTCTGGCTCTGCTGCTCTTTTTTTCTCCCTGCGTGTATGGAAACTTCCCAAAATACAATATTTCAGTTTTAAAAATACCTTTTGATATACGAGAGGCTCAGGAGGATGGAAACCGTGGCGATTCAAATCTGGAGAGCATTTCAAAATATGAGAAGGTGAAGCAGGAAAGCTTTTGAAACGGGATTTTATGCAATTGGGCTTGACAACTATTCACCGACATATCCAAACTGCAGGCACCTCAGTCATGCAAGCAGCCTGGCAGTATAAAAGCGCACTGTGCTCTGAACCACACAGTGGACCCCTGGTTTGTTATTCCTGTATATGATACTTTACGTCGGGAATGGGCTGAAAAAGCCGGTGCAATTATTGAAAGAAAGCACAAGGAGTAGATGGGCGCCTGTTCAGCAATGAAACAGAGGGCTGTTTATCCAAGCCGTTAAATAAGGCTTCAAGTACAACACCCCCGTCCAGCTCCACAAGGCCCAGATCTCTCTCATCTGGAGAGCACAGTTTCCATTTTAAAATGTCACGTCCCAAACTGCACATTACATCAAATTGTACTTAATGGCATCCAGACAAACTTTAATGTCGGTCCAACATTTTCTCTCTATGTACTCCACACGCTCTTCCCTGCTCCTTATAGCTTAGCAAGCAAGTCTCTCCTTCTTCCCTGTTCCACATCTGGACTCCATTCCAGGTGGAGTTATTGAGAAAGGGGGAGAACATCACGAAGGTGGAAAACAGAGAAGGTTGGAGGCTAAAAAAGCCCCAAAACGTATAGGGTTGAGATTGTGCCTCAGTGTCGATTTTGGCTGATGTTATACAAGCTTTTTGGGGATGTGTGACGAAGGCTGAGAGATGGTTTTGTATGTCGGTCGTCTTCTACAAATCCCACACTGGTAGATAAACATGTAAAACAATGGGGTTTTCAGCACAATTAGAGAAACCAGACCCACTGACTGCTGAGTTTCAGGCAAAAAGTCCGGATTTCTGCCAATGGATAAACAAAAGAAAACTTCCAGCCGGGAAACAGACATCAGGCGACCTGCTGCCGAGTGTTTCTCGAGGAGCTCGTGACATCTAGCGGGGAGATCTGCAACGCACTCGTCACTCCTCCACTTCTGCACATTTCCTGGGTGAATGGTTTTATTTAACACTTTATGAGAACATTAAGCTCTTTACTTCTACATTTTTGAGGGGTTATCAAACGATGTGGTGCTGTACTGTCAACACTCATTTATCCGAAGTCTTTCAAGTAATTTAGAATTTAATCCAATATAATGCTGCAAAAAAGGAGGTTTATCTTTGTAGTCATTGTATAATGATCCACAAATAATGCAGAAATCAATTCTATAATTGCCTAGTAAGCGAAATCATAGTACACTCGCCTATGCTTCCCCCCACTTGTTTATATAAACATACCATCAGATTTCTCCACGAAATGAATCAGCTCATGTCCATATTTTGTTTCTAATCCTGCGCAAAGATTTTATAACGGAGTTTAAAAATCTTAATCCATGTGTAATTTGAGTTTTATCGCTTTCATAAGTTCATAAAGAACAAGTCTGAAACTGCAGTAATACTGCCGTCTTTTGGTCAGGAACGTGAATTACATAGCTGTTACACAGCCTCAAAGGCAACGCACGTCATAACTCTCCCTCCTCATGTGCTGCATAATTATATCAGACATCTCTTGTCATAGACGTGGGTCTCCCAACAACTTTGTAATGCTCATTCAGTTACAAGACCTGGATGGCAGATAAGCTTGTGGGAAAATAAAAGCATCCAAACTACCGTTCTAGTTTCCTTTTTGCCTGGTCTGCTATTCACAAAGCATGTTGGCAGATTTTTAATCTGGATGCCTCTTCTGACACAAACCACCCCAAGGGATTTGTGTCTCCTCCTGGGATGAACTGCAGAGCTTTTACTGGCACTGCACTATGGAGCCACTAGTAAAACAATTAAATATAATGACAAACATAATCCCTAGATTGTGTGCGATATAATATGTGGAATAATAAATATGCAAAAATGCATTTAAATAAACTATCTACCTATCTGTACAACTTCTACTACAAAGAGATGTGTGCAGTTTGTGGATGTCACAGACCTTGTTCTACATTCAAAAATGTGCGGTAAAGAACCAGCTTACAGCAGCAGTTAAACTCTTTTCTGTGCTACATTTGGCGAAACTCTTTCTGGTGTTAATATGGGAAGAATAAATGTTTCAAGTTGGCAGACATAGTTACATTAAAGAAACAATAACACATCAGGAAAACACTGCATACACATATACACATTTTGGTACACACAACTGCAAAACAGTTATTATCGCTGAGGAAGCTTCAGGTTGTGCGAATTTATTAAGTGCCACATGAAATGTGAACATTATAGTGCATCTCTGAGTACTGCTGTAAGTGTAGCATCATCGATTCTTTTCACACTATATGTCCTGTGCATACATTATGCATTTTAAGTGATCTACATTATAGAATACATTTCAATCACAAACATCAAAAATATTTGCATATTAAATGAAACTCTAGTCCCTCAAAAGGTAACAAAAACAGCCACAAAAAAAAAAATCCCCTCATTATTTATAAATTCAGATTACAAAAGAAATACAGAAAAACTCAGGGGTTTTTGGCCTGATACTAAATTTGCAACTCCTGTGTTTGTAACAGTGTGAACACCCTTTCCCTTCTTCCTTGCTGCCTCTCACTCTCACATGTGCACACACACACCCACACACACACCCACAGATGAAGGGAAGGCCTGAAGAAGCCGCCACACCCCTGCATGAGAAAGTATGCACACATACACACCCACACAGCACTATCTGTGTACATTACATTTTTTAAAAAGGCATGCAGTGTAGGTTTGCTTTTGATCCCACTGTGTCAGCAGAAAATTTAAATGAAGATCCTGATCCTCAGAGTCAGCCCTGTTGAGTTTGTCCAAAGCAGTGGTGATTTGTAAATCTGGCCTTAGCATAATGTCATGTGGCTTGAGTCCATGGCAGCTGTGAATCATTAGGCCTAAGAATAACCTAAAGATGGCACGGAGGCTGGTTAATTAAAACAAAAAAAAAAGAAAAAGAAAAGAAAAGACAAACAAAGCCCCATTTCTCATACATTTACAAAGAAGGCAACAAAGTGTATTATATTACTGCAAAGTATGGTTAAATGTGATCAGAAAAGAGCATCCTCGACCATATTGCTGATTCATCTCCACCTCCGTGTATCTTCCCAAGATCTAAAACTCAGTCAGATGAGGTGGATATTTAAGCCAAACAGGCGGCCCTCTGTGTCCACAGTGAGGCAGGGGTGGAGTGGCAGACTCAGTGGTGAGGGGACACGGTGGCTGGGGGAGAGCTGGCCGGGCCCTGGTACCTTTCTTTGGCGTGCTTCTCACAGTACATCACATCTCCAATCCAAAAGTGACCTCGCATACTCAGGTTAAGACCGCAATCTGTGCACGTGTAGCACTCGGGGTGGCGGAATCGATCGTCGTTGATGCGCACGGCCTGTGAGCTGCGGAGAGATGAGCGCAATCAGGCACCAAGAAAACAGACTAGATGATCGAACGGTGAAATGATGAGTTTCAACAATCAGCACAAATAATCACCATGCTAAAACAAAACAGTTTGTTTTAGCATGCCCTGTAGACAGTTCAATTGTAGACAACTGAACTGTCTACAATTGATGTTTCAGACTCCATTTGAAATTTTGTCTATTATTTTTCCCCCACAAATCGTTACACAGCAGACCACAATGGCAGTGTTGTGCACCAGGTAAACCAGAAGCATTCATTCACATATTTCAGTTTCCCCAGTTTATTCTGGTCATGTTAAGAGGCTCATGGCCTTCAGAGTATGACTCAAATTGGAGGTCAGATAATTTAAAATCAGTGTTTTGATGTGCGAGTTTCACAGCAACTCATATCCTGATCTCATATACATCTTTATGATAATCTGATAACGATTAAGTAGTATATTATATATATATAGTATTATATTCTATAAACACGTGAAGCCTCAAATAAATAAAAAAATAAAAATAAATAAGAATTCCCTCCAGAAAAGGATTTTGTGTTTGTCATGTACACACTTCTCTATCCTGACTAGTCTTCCAGTTCCAGATAAATATTACCATTTGCAGTCAAATACTTAAATCTTTGTTCATTAAGACCCAAGTATTTTGCTTTTGAACTATAAGCACAGTGTCTTCCGTCTTTTGTTGAGGAACCCGTTCTCTTCGGTCACTCTACCATAAATGGCTGAGTGGTGCGCATAAGAGGGGAGCGGAAGTCTGACTCCCGTCACCAAGGCAAACACCTTTTGTCCATAATAGCTCAATCTGGTTGGGCTGGCAGGTCTAGAAGTCTCATGTACCACAGCTCAAGTGTGAAGGTTTTGTAATTGTGTAGCATCATTTGCAGATTTATAAGTAAAACAAACCAGCATCAAATCTTCTGAGTCTGAGACACAAATATATTATTATATCAACGGCTATGTTATCCAATTAAGCATGTAACTGCAGGCGACCACAGACTTACACAATTTTGGTACCACACCTCTCGCAGGTGTGGTATTTGCTGGTTCCTCCCACTGATGTGGTTGCTTTGGGGGCATTTGGTGAAAGATTTCCTGGAAACCTCAGAGCTGCCTCTGGAGAAAAACACACACACAGAGTTGCTCATGATGAAGTTTTGACACGCTACGTCTCACTGCTCAACACATCAGCACTCTGTTTGTCTTCACTGTCCTCTGTCAGTGCAGCTTGTTTATGTTTCCGGTAACTGTCATCACAAGGTCGTCGCCTATGGGACACGCTATATGAAATTTCCAAATACTGGCCATTATCACGTCATGAAAGAATGTTATCACTATCTGGATTTATTTTCCCTGCCAAAGATCAAAGCCAAAGGGGAATCAGACAGATGTATTCCATGATAACATTTTTATGACCCACACACTGCAGAGTTGCGCTCCTCATGACAAACATATGGGAGTGCATATGGTTCTGAATGATGCACATTTGTCAAGGATGGTTTCAAGATGGAGATGTGGGCAGCAAACAGAAACAAGAGAGGAAGTGAATTATAAAGTACTTGATATAGCTGACAGATGCAGAAAATAAGTCTCAAAGCAGCCAGTCCACATGGATAAAATCTCTGCAGTCACAAAGCCCTTTTGTGCTCAACTAATACCTACTGCCACTTTCTTGTGTGTTCTAACATACACACACACTTTTATATTTATGAAACAATGTGCACTTTTGTCTATAAAGGATGCTCTTTGGATGAATGAGCGTCTCACCTTTTTCGTCAGCCTCCAGGACTTCTTGCAGCATTTTAAAGGTGTTGGACTGACGAGGTGGATTGCGGGACTCCCTGTTCTCCTGGATCATCTTGTACACCTCTGAGTCTGTGTCGAACCTCTGCATGGCAAAGTCAGAACTGGGACTGCTGTAAAACAAGCCAATAATAATCAGTATAGGATCTATTCATTTATATATGATTAAAAATATATAAATGTGTATGATACAGTGATATTAAAGCATTAAAGTTTGTATTATGACTGAATAGATGGACATAAAACCAAGTCACCAATAATAACTTAAAGCAGGCCTCTCCGGCTCTCTTTTGTACATGTGATTTTTGCTGCACTTTGGCGTGTTGCAATTTGCACAAGTTTGTGTTGAGTGTTTTGGCTGCAGTTTTGCAGGCAGAAGGCAAACTTTATCGGATATCAGTTGGTTCCTCTATGTAGATGTAAAAGTTGTTTTTTTTTTTTTAAATAGTAACTGAAACTGAGTGCTGCTCATTATGAATGTCTGCTGTATTACACTCTGACGGAGTGCAGGCAGAGCAGGACGCATGAGCCTGTGAGTATAAGCTCAGGGCAAATCAAAGCTTTGAGTTAAGGGTAACTCTCTCCACACACATATTTGCAACTCATCACATGCATTTGCAGATTCACCAGAAGTGTGTTTGTAAAGAGCCAACTAGGAGGCCCATCTAAGTTTGAACTTCTTTAGCTGTTGCTCAGAACAGCGCTTTTATCTAATCTAAAATGGTAAAACAACTTATCTGATTTATGAGATTTTTGCCATATTTGTTCCTAAATCAATCTATATTGGCAGGTACTTCCAACGACTGCTTCAACAGCTCCAACATTGTACAACAAGGAAGAAACAAGGAGGGCAAAAGGCTAACTGAGAGAGCCACATCTCAAATCTAAAATCCTTAAAGAAAAAAATAAAATAAAATAAAGAGCTTAACGAAAAGTGGCTTTGTTTTTTTGTTTTTTTTAGAAAACTTCTGATTAGTTAAAACCGGTTAACAAAGTAGTAATAAGAGAGGCTTGTGCATTACATAATCTATAGCACAAAATAACAGCACCAAGTACAAAGTTGATTCAAAAGCCTCTCCAACAGCCAAGAAACATGAGATCCCGCAGTTGCGTGTCTCTTTTTGTGAAGGTGTGACCTTTGGCCTTTTCAAAATGAAATGTCATCACATCATTTTATCCCATTAGAAACTTGTGAAATTAGCCCATGAATTCTTGAGTTGTGGTGAAAAACGTGTTTCGACAAGCTGCACTGGCCCTGAGGTCAACTGCAAATCCGTGCCAAATTTTTATAAAATCCCTCGAGGTGACCTGACACATCATGTTCATGAGAATCCCTGCACGTACATGCAGACTGACAACTCAAACACATGACGCCTCCAGCCACTGTTGTCGCTGGTACACAGCCATAGAAAATTACTTCAAACTCTGCATTTTTGCAATTTCAGCTTCAGGTTAAGGGCAGGAGGGGAGAAGAAGCTTCCATCAAAGGGGATTAGACACTGTGAGCTGAATGATTATTACTTAACAGATAAAAGCTCCGTCTTCCAAGCAACCCAAGCTGAGGAAACCCATGTGCTAAAATGTAGATTGGCAGAACATTGGTAAGACACAAAATTTTGTTCCTGTATGTGTGTTTCTCTGGAGGGAGTGTTTTCAGTCATGTGGAACCAGTCGGCCAGGTACACACTGTTCAGACTAGGTGCGATTTGATTACTTCAAATAGGAGCCGTTTTGTCAGCTAGAATAACCCAACCTGACTGACTGTCCCACCTGTTGTCACCTACTGCAGAGATATTTATGCTTTAACTGACACCTGTGGTGTGAAGACAAAGCCCTCAACTTCATTCAACACTGTTGTGATTTAACATACAGATGTGAACCTATAAAGCCTCTTTATTTATTTTTTTTGTACAACAACATTACAGTTAGCGTGTTGCTGGGTTTTGGCAGATTTGTAACATTTTTTAACTTCATGTAGCCTGGCTCTTACATTCAATTATTATGAGTTTAAAGCTGATTCAAGATGAGAAATCTGTGACTGTGTTGCTTTTAAAAAACAAATCAGTTTGCGTGACTGATAATTCAAATTATGAGACTAGACAACTTTGTTAAACTGGAATTGGGCTGAGGCAAAGAGACAGACGTGGCCATTGAAAACGGAAACAGTCCTGGTTTCTTGGGTTTTAGGTTCAGGTTCACTGTCCAGCTGCAAAGATGAGTAATGGTTTTAAATGAACATGTTCAGAGAATTTTCATAAGATATATTTCTGTGTATGCAAAGCCCATTTCCCCCTTAGTGAACATGGCTGCAACAAACAAGGGCAAACAGACATAGCAACAAGTATGTGAATGAAACAAATGCTCAGACCCTTTCTTCTGCATCACTGAACATGGTTCAAATTGAAAACAGATCTCTCAGACCTCTCCAAGTTTTCCACATGCTCAGCTCCACCCTAAGCAAGCCATTTCCCCTTTTCCTTTCCCTCACCATCCCTCATGACATGCTATCTCAAAACAAATGGAAATTCTAGGTAAAAGAATACAAATAACAGGACTTATGGTCAGAGAAAATAACATGCATCTGAACAAGCAGTCAAGCACACAGATTATTAGTGCAAGCACATTAAAACAACTATCACTTTTAAATCTAATTCCACAAAACTCTTGGGAATTGCGCTTTCCAATGTTCTCACATGTATATATCAGTGGCCAAGACAAATGTGCTGCTGGTTTCTGTATCCAGACTTGGCTCACGCGAGCAACAATGAGACCCAAGGCATAGCTGCATGTAGTCGAAACATCTAAGATCACAAAGCTAAATTCCAGCCATATTTATGAACTGGTTTCCTTGAAGTACAACATCTAAACCAAAGTCAAAACATATGGAGAGAAGGAATTAAAAACAGCAAAACATAAGATGACGAGACTCACCTCAAAAAGAAAAAAAGAGACAAAGAGAGTGAAAAAAGTGGGGAAGAACAACTCCAGCTAAAGTCCTTGTCCTTTTAACAGTGCTAGAGCAACTCCGCAAACATACCAACATACAAAAGAACAAACAATATTGACACACAAGCAGATGAAGAGCACACACCTCTATCTAAACCAGACGGCACAGAAAATGCAAGAGTGACTGAAAGGTGTGCCTTTAGCTGAAACTCATTGGCCATGCATCATGAAGGGGTGGGAAAATGGGTGTTACAGAGTCTGTGATTGGCTGGAAAGAACAGGGAGAGACTTTCTGTGCTAGCTCTAGACTGGGGGCCAATTAGGGGGAGAAGCAAAAATCAATCTTTTTTGGGAAGGGTCTGACTACAGCTGCTGACACATCACTAGCTATGGTTAGCCCAGCTGGACTTGGGTCTAAAGTCCAAAGTCAACTATCGTGCACTGAGGAGGGGAAAGAAAAAACAGCCACCGTGAGCGTGCTGACAGAAAGGATTGTGTGAGAGACTGAAGTGAAAACACCAATTTCTTCTGGGACAACAAATATTCCAAACAATGCTTAGGAGGGCAGCACCTGCACAGTGGGAACAGAATCAAATTACAGCTACATCACCTAATCAGAGAGGGTGAGGCAGGAAACAAGAAACTAAAGTGTTGCTGAGGGAGGTGATGAGCTGTTTCCCAAAGGTTCATTTGACTCCAAATGTTTCTGCAAAAAGCAGTAAACATCGAGAACCACCTGGACAATATCAGTAGATTCACAAGCTGGCTGTTTTACTCTAAATGAAGGAACTGGTTTGGCAGATTTCTCAGCTAATCTGCATTTTGACAGAGATTTTAAAAATGAGGAAACAACTGAGAAACTGAAAGAATTTTTCAAGATGAGATCACCGATGCAACCAGATAAAACAATTTTCACTTCTGTAGAGGTAATAATAAGTGTCTTACTACTAACACAGTGTAATGCAAATAGCCTTAATTGTTATTATAATTTGGGTGTAATTATTTCTTTGATAAAGTACAAAATTTGAGAAGGATCACAAATGTAAATACAAATCTCTCTATAAAAATCTAATAATAAAGAAGTTCGATGATTACCACCCGTTTTAGTAGTTTTCCAAAATTTCAAAATACATGTGTGCATGGTCTGTAAGTACCCACTTTCATGCCATATTTGCAGCTTTACAGTTATAAATGAGGTACCAGGTGATGGTGGAATGTGCAGGTGCAGCCTCTACAGGCCTATAGGTGGCACTAAATTACTGCATTGAAACTGTGTATACTCCAATTAGACAGGAAACAAACTTACGCTGTAGTACATGTTAAAGCTTTAGGTTCTGTTGTGCATTGTCCTCTAAAGGGGCCCTCGAGTAGTTGGATATCAAGCGATCATGTGAAAGAAAAACCAGAGAATCAAATCAAAGGAAAAGCCATCGTCAACCAACTGCTGTTGTAAAATATTTTGCCTCCATGTTCCTCCAGAACATCTTGGTTATGGATGTGGTGGAAGCACTGTTTACACAGAACCAGGAGATTCCCAGCTGCATTAAAAGTTGGGAACTGTGAAGGCCATAACACATGATTAACATAATTTTCATACTTAAAGACAGAATGTTCCCACAAAGTTGACCAAGTTAACTCCAACTATGGCCACAAAATGCCAACCACAGCTTAACACAGCCACTGTAAACCAAGTCGGGTTTTTCCTTTGAGCATGCACCTAAATTTTAAGCCTAAAGAAGTGAAAGAGTCCCGGTTTGCTCTCAGAAAAAGAGAACAATCCATTTGGTGTGGTAATCCTGTGTGTGTATAGGAGTCAAAAGTAGGTTTTAATTATGTTGGAGTAAAAGTGTAACATTTACCTGCGATGAGGCGACACTGGTACGTCACGCTCAGTGGGACTTTGGGGTGAGAAGCGTCCTTGTGGAGTTGTGTTGGACACAGAGTTGTTTCTGTAGTCTGAAGGCGAGAAGTCCTGTGGAGAAGGAGAGAGCAAAAATGTATGAAATGATGCAATTTAAACACAAGAGACACACCAAGTGTTTTGCTCCATTCAGAGACAGGAATTCAGTGGGTGAGATTCTGAAGAGCTTCTCCACCAAGGAGTGTTTTGGTATTGAAGGCAGTTCGTCCATATTTCCAGAAACTCTAAATATGAAAACCTGAAATAAAATTATATCTTTTGAAAGACACATTCAGTCAAGATCAAACCAGGCGAGATCTGATTGAAACCTTCATCGGATTTTAGTCAAATGTTTCAACTTCAAGTACCAAATAAGCTACATGCTTGCATTGTTTAATGTGATTCACTGTGCTGTCAAGGTTTTGACAGCTTGAGTCACACCGACATTCCTTTTACTGGTTGTTCCTGCTGATCCATTTCAATCTCAGCAAGCTAAATTAACATTGTTTCATCTTGATAATCATGCACAGTCTTAGGTGTGCTCCACTCCCACAGCTGATAGAGGACTGATGGTGTAGCAACAGGTGTTTGGTACTAACTGGAAAACTGGTTTGAAGAGAAACTCAGAGCCAGCTTGTACTGTAATAGGTTCCAGAAGCTGTACAAACCTGATGATTATTCATCTGTAGTTCAACAGCAGCATCACACAAATCAGTCAAAATGAACACTTACAGTACAAATACTGAAATTGAGAAATCTTAGTCAAGTGAAAAATATTTGACTTTTGACAGAAGAGGGCGCTAAGTACCTACAGGTGATCCAGCAGTTCCAACATTAAGTTAAAGGTAGATTTTTCCATCTTTACTCTAACAGTATGGGTTGGAAAAAAAAAAAACCCTCCTGAAATTCATTCCTCAGCATGTTAGTTTAGCTCAGGAAAACAAATATGCAGTACAGAGTTAAGACAGAATCATCAAAATGCCATATTATATTTCCCAATCCTGAACTTGGAAGCTGAAAGCTTGATTATGATTTAGAGCAGTACATGTGTTACATGTGGTCTGACTATTTCCTGGTGAATATCATTCAACAAGGATAATGGACTAGCCAACCTGTGGCAAAAAGAAACCTGGCAGTTATTTCACTGCTGTCTTTTCAAAACTGGTATTTTAAGTCCTCATGACTACTTGGCACAGCTCAGATTAATTAGCAGTCATACTTGTTGATCACATATGCTGCAATATTCCTACTGAAGTTTACTTGTGACATAAAGCTGTTACTTCATTTCATCTCCTGCACACAGTGCAGGAGATCTTGTGCTAGAAATCGCAAAGCCCACAGACAACCCAAGAGTACAGCTTTTGCAATAAAGCTCACCGATTTTTTTTTCCTCCTCCCTCAAATGTCACCAGCTGGCACAAGTGTTACATGGGCTTCACAGCAAAGTGGCTCCACCCAACCTTTTGAACCAGCACACATCTGAAAGTTAAGCTGGAGCTGATGCAAGAGCTCAGTACTGAACAAATAGCATGGATGGAGTCAAAGATTTGTGTACCCAATGCCAGCACCCGCTTCCAATTCAGAAACTCTTTGAACAATGTCTCTGTTCTCAATTGAGTCCAATTTTCCTGCTCTTTTTCCTTAGTGAGTGGGTAGATTAGTGGCGGATGCCAGGAAGCCTTTACCAGAAATGATCACTGGGATGGCTCCCCATGATTCCTCCCAGGATAAACCCACCACAAAAGGCAGAGGCTCAGAACATCATATATTTCATACTATCACTATGCACGAATAGAGACATCCATGCTGTCTTTATTTGAGCAAATCTCTAGGGAATGTACTGGAGGGATATGTATAGATTCTTTCTTAAAGACCCAGTGAAGCCAAGCAGTATGTACTGATGAATCTATTCTAATACAAACCAAATATATGTTACATAAGTGTCCAGCTACTGAATGTGGATCTTCATGCATTCCAACATCATAAGAATTTAGGGATAAAAATCACAGCTCGGCTCGGAGACTCAAGAGGAATGCAATGAAGTAAAGAAAAACAAAAGGGATAAAGAAAAAACACATGCGCTCAACTGTGACAGGGAGTATGCAGCTGTGACTGAGCTTGACCTTAGAAAGTTCAAAAAAAACTTTGTCTGCACAACCAGAGCAGCTCTCCCATCACCACAATCCATTCTGCGAAATCCAGTGCCAGAATTTTATAGCGGTAACTGCTACATGACTAGCAAAGCCTTAACCAATGCTTCCTGCATATGCTTCGTTCCAGATTATCACTGTTGCATTTTAAGCCTTGGAACCATTACACACAGTGATCTCAGTTCTACAGTGCATTTGGGGAACTGCATCATGACAGTGCCAACAATACCCCCATGTTTCATGTACTAGAAAACTCAAGAAATACGGGTGAGCTGAGGAAAGCCTATTTTCTTTCTTGGATGAGAGAATGGTCACAGATGGAAGAGACCAGCGGAGAATATCATCAGCCAATTTTTTTGTGGTTCCAGTGGCTGGCAAGAAGAGGAAGCTCTGATTAAAGCTGCGCTGAACTGTAATCAGGAGTTCATAGTCAACAATCCCAAGATCATTAGGGCAAGTTGCTGGAATGCTGTACTGCATTTAAAATAACATATCAAGCTACTGAGCACTATATATCCTCTTTAGGTATACTGTTTAGCTTATTATGGTGTGTTTGTACATACAAATGCACAGAGACAAAATCTGCCTGGAGAACAGATTGGATATCCACGTCCCATTGGTCCAACACAAACAATGTTTTTTGCCAAAGTAACATGCAAGGTTTCAGAATTTGGGTTTTTCTATGTGCTTTTTCCATTTCAGTGTTAACCATTTTTCATGCTTGAAGTTCTATGATATTTAATATAATGCCCAAACAGCCAATACCAACACAAAACAAAATAAACTCCAGCATTTAAAATGTCTTAATTTTAAAATCTCTAACTTTATGTATGAGGCCCTTTGCAGCAGTAAGACGGAGGGCCACATCTGTCTTACTGTGGAAAACATGGCAACTTAAGGTTGTGCTGAAACCTGCTGTTTATTTTCATCGTTCATCCATTTTATACACTCACATCTTCCATGGCAGGGGAGAGGGGGCTGGAGCCTATCCCAGCATGCTTGGGGAAAGAAACAGAGAAGACCCTTGTGCGTCAGCAAAAACTGACCCGACATTTATGGGATTCAGCTTGATTTTAACATGTGAAAATACAAACACTGGTGCCCCAGAAACTCACATATTACAAAGTATACATTGTATTAAAACCTACATTCTTTAGTCTTGACATTCATGTAGATGTTACCTTGGCAAGTACCATTCACCTTAATGTTCTTTCACATAAAGCATAACCACACACTATTAAGTGACACAAGTGGTCTCAATCAGAACATGCACAACACAAAAAAGTTCTCCAGCCTTGGTCAGATGGAGATCTGTTGGTCCCCTTCTGACAGGTGCACCTGATCCAACCCAGTCTATGAAGGGCCAAACTGGCAACCTACAAGACCCAAAAGCTCTGCTGCCAGCATCCACGATTGTGTTTTTTCAAGACACTTCTGGGCGCATTGGCAAATGTTTATTAGTAATGTTAGTTAGGAATAATCAGCATACATTTATATCTGTGGATTGTACCCATCCAAAGTTAAACCAGCTTAATAGCACTAGCTAAGAGCTTAGGCCTCAGTCACACAGGCTTGATGACCCTCATGTCACTACATAGGTTGCTGGCTGTCACCAGGTAAAATAAATGTTGTGGCCGCCTGTAGTTTTTTGCTGTAGTGAAACTACAAGAAGTTTGGTGCAAACCAGATATGGACACCGTTCTTTCCCTCTTCCCAACCAACACACTTCAAAAGTCGCAACTTTAACTGACCAGTTTTACTGATCGGCAAATAATTTGTGGGTGTTTGTAACATTTGCTAGCAACCTCCCACAATGACTTGCCAACCGGTCAAAGAACACAAAATTCTCTCTAGCCGCTGACTGATCTCTAGGCCTTTACAAATCCATTTCACAGTAACTACCAATAACCTACAGCAACCCACCAGCTAGAAAATAAATATTTTTCTCTGGCAAGATGGTTGGCAACTAGTATGTTGGCCTTGGCCTGGCCTGTGTGGTGGTAATGTCTGTCTCCAAAAAAGAAAACAAAAAAACACAGCAGCAGCCAAAACACTAATTGAAGATTCAGAATGCAGAATCCAAAAACGCCTGAGACACTGCAGTGGCTACACACACCTTTGAAAGACTTTTATATACTCCTAATATGTGATCAGCGTTGCTTTGGCACATAACAGTAATCAACCCACTAGAAGGCAGGTGATTTTACTGTTGTGGCTGATCTCTGCAAAACAAAACTGTGGGCAACTATAAATGGGACGTATTCATTTACCAATATTAGAGATAAAGCCTTAGTGCATTATAAAAACTGTTACAAAAGAAAAAAAAATCATTCTAAACACAATCAAGAGTTTATCCATTTTAGACACAACAAGCATAAAATGCCAAAATAAAGTGAAGGCAGCTGTTTCAGATAAAGACCCATGGGAAACACTGGGGACAGTGCCAGCAGAGGAGTCTTCAGTCTGGCTCCAACCAAGCCACTGTGCATCATCATTACCACCCTGCAGCTTCAATTACAGGGCACTGGCCAGCAGCACATAGGAGTGATGCCTAGAGGAGCTACTTTTGGGAAGACAGTTGCTGCTGTAAGAAAGTGCTGTAACTGCTAATTCACTGTCTCCACCTCAGACATGAGTGCTGCACTACAATGAGGCGGGGGACACCAGACATTCTGGGCTTGGTAATAATCAGAGCTGTGTAGGTTTTTTCCTATCCAGCAGTGGGCACTGGTGGAGGTCCTGAGCAAAGGCCTGAGGCGAAGAGTAACCTACTCGTTATCCACTGTTACTGATAGATCCCTGCCTTGTAATTATGTCTGAGCAATGGTGCATTACTGTGTACACATTCTGTTACAAATAAAACACAATACATGGTTAAACACAGGACATCTTTTTGGAACAAATAAAAAAAAAAAAAAAAAA